ATTTACTCAACACATTTCTATACATAATAGTTTTACCGACTCATTTCAAATATCTGATTCATTTTATCTTTGCCATGATGACAGTACATAATATTTTACTAGATATTTTTCAAGATAGTATTCAGCTTAAAGTGCTTTAGGCATTTAAAGGCTTATAGGTTAGTTGAAGTTAGGGTAATTAGGCAAATCATTCTATGCCGATGGTTACTTAAAAACAAACATTGCTTAAGGGGGATATTAATATTGTGTATAACATATGCTTATTTATTTTTGATGATTTTTTCATTATTTTTAAAAACCTAATAATATTATAATATAGCCGAAATAGAATAAATAAGACTTTTTCCAGAAAAAAAAAAGAACAAAATTATAGTAAATACTGTGAAAATGTCTTTGCTCTGTTAAATATTATTTGGGAAATATTTGAAAAAGAAAAAAAAAACTAATTAAATAATTAATCATTTTGACTTCAACTGTACATGTATATATTTTCTTAAATAACTGTCACAGGCACAAAGACACTATAGTTTGGTTTATTTTTATTGTAGTACAGTAGGCATGAGTCATGAGGACATACGGTTGACAGCTATGAGGCAGTAACCATAGACTTCTCCCTTGGACGCTACAACATTCAGTTCACTCACATTTTAGCTCTCTCTGGCAGCCATAACCAATGAAGCGCTGATGCTCTGAATGAGAAACAGTACCTACTTCCGCAAGGTTTAGCACAGTATAAAACTCTTGAAAGGCATACAGCAAGAAAGCGAGGGTACAGTGCAGTGATTGTGACTTACAGCATTGGCACAAATGTGTATGGGCTCCAGTGATTCAAGGCAGAGCATGATGGGTACATCTGTACGTTACATTTAAACAGATCATCATGTAAAACAGCTTTTTTTCTGTGTAACACCTCATGATTTAGGGACAAAAGACAAAATATAGAAATATACATGGGGCCCACATGCCATCTGGACCTTCTGGATTGTTTTGTAGAACATCTATTTGGATTGGATCTAACAAAAATAACACTTCTGAGACAAGGCATCATCACAGACGGAGGACCTGATCTGCAGGAGCTGCCATTGCTGTTTGGAACACGCTTTGTTCGCAGACGACAGGGTCACTCTTCCTCTTTAAAGTCCGTGTGAATTAAAAAATTACAACATTGATTTATTTAGCATACATTGTTATTCTTTAGTTGAATAATTAACTTGTGCAAGTTAATTCAGTAAAGAAAAATAAATTTATTTAGGTAATCTTCCATCAAGTCTTGACTGCATTTGGAGTAACGGTCCTTCTCTGTTGACGTCAAAATCAGCTTCAGTCAAAATATTCTTAACCACTCTTACCGTTAGTTTGTTATGAGACAATATTTTGCAAAACAAAGAAAGCCCTGCCCCCTACTCAATATTCAGCTTTAAATGCATCAAAATACTGAAATAAAACTCTTAAAAGCTTTTATTTCACGCGGACTTTAGCATGGTTTTGTCTTTGACTACAACAACTTACGTTGATAACCTGCTGGTTTTGTTCACTCATGTCTAAAATTGTTGTAGGGTTGAAATAAAATGTTCGTTTTCAAGACTGACTGTTGTGATGAAATTCCTGACGAGCACCAATAAATGTTGCTTCTGTCAGGGTCATTTCTGTTACGCTGTACATTTTCATGTCACCATTGCATTGTCAATGGATGAAATATTAAACTATATTAATGTTAAAATTGAAATATTAAACTATTTTTTTTACTACAATAGTAGTCTGGAGTGCAGCCATCTTGTCACATAATGATATGCGAGTTGCAATGTGTGTTACATTGATATCCAGAGTGATCTCTGGAACATAACTATTTTACTTAATGTTAGAAAAGTGTGTCAATTTATAAAAATACATACCATTTAATTTGTATAAATATGCACTATTTTTAAAGGGATGCATGCCTCTAAATTCTGCTTCTTACCCTGTTCCTTATTGAGGGAAGACCAAATTATAGTAAAATGTACAAATTAGATTGTCTAAATTAATACTAAATTAGTAACTAAATCAAAAAGTTATAAATTGCCATGAGATTCCTTTAGTATGTCAAATGTTGGAATTTATGAAACATATTTTATAAAAAGAACTAAAAAATCTGTTTTCCCAATTGAGAGCATGTATGTAAAAACACAAATGCATTCAATTTTGATGAAAAATACAACATTTTGGGTTAAAAGTGTGGTAGGGGGTAGATCACACCAAACACGCTTTTTATATCGAGAGGTGCCTTTTTTAAATGGTTTACTAACGGCTGCGAGCATTTTAGTCGCTGTTTATGCGCCCTGCGCGCCTCGCGTTTTACTCGCCTGCTGTGTCTCGAGTTTTTGCCCTTGCACGCTGTGCACTGTTGCCAACTATTTTTAAGGCGCTAAGCTCTGCCCAAAAAGCTACTAAAAGTCACTAGATTGCATCATATGTCAATTTGACTATTACTAACATCACGTTCCACCGTTTGTTTGTTTAACAGCCTATGGTTAATAAAGGGGTATATATTTGCACTATGTATGCATGTCAATTTAACTGAATTTGTTGGTGTTTGAATAAAGTATAGCATTATAGATGTGTTGTGAATTTGCAGTAATCTTTCAGACCTAATATACCCAGACAAGTTCCGAAACTGTCACTGAAATATCTGTGATTGTGAACAAGAAAAGAATAAACAGTCAAATAAAATTGTTAAAATAAATTAGAAGTAGATCTGTTTGACTGTACAAAGGAAATACCTCACACTGCCGATGCCAAGTCATTTGCTGTTGGTACGCAGAGGAGTGATCTGTTCTCAGGCTGCAGTTGGGAGAGACTGCTCTACGAGGACTGACTGGGCCACCTGTAAGTGCTCTAAGCAGGGGAGGGGCCTAAGGTATTATCCGCAGCTCATTAAGAAGAATAGGAATGCTGCAGTATGGACACATGAGAGTCTATTACAATCTACAGTAACAAAAAAGTAGCTAGATTTGTCGCTAGGTGCTTTTTTAAAAAAGAATTCTCCACGAGGGTCTGAAAAATTGCTAAATATAGCGACAATTCGTTAATTTGGCAACACTGTCGCTGTGCGCTCGCAGTTGACACAATGTCAACTCTGTCAAATGTAAGTCACATCTATTTCATTTAAATGAAAGCAGAGGTGTGTTTTCAGTTAAGGTGTCTGCAGTGTTTGTGTTTTTAAGACAATAACGGAGACTTTTGATGATGGAGAAGAGACTTGTGGTTACTGTTTTGAGTTATCCAGTGCTGTATGATTCACAAATCTCGAATATCACAATATTAATTAAAATTAAAATTATATTAATATCAACAGCAACACTCACGCACATTACTCAGCTGATTCACCTGTTGCCAACACTGAAAAAAATGATGTTGCAAAACTGTTGCAAACAATTTATTTGTGTTGAATTTAAACAAACATATTTAATTTAATAAAATTCCACTTAATTTGTATGTTTAAATTCAACCTAAAACCCAAAAAAAGGCAGTGTTGTGCGCCTCGCATTTTATAAACAAAAAAGCGTGTTCAGTGTAATTGGACCCTAAATGAGTAAATGCACATGCAAATACTTTCCATTATAAGCTCACAAAAAGTAGCTCAAATGTAAGTTTGCATTTGCTCAGGTGGTATTACGGATTAGGAAGCTTGCACTCCAGACTGCCTTGAAGCACTGTTAGCCAAAACTGATTTAAATAATGTTTATTTCCAACACAGATCAATCATATAGCTTTAATGACTTATTAAAGCACAGGTAGCCATTGACTCGCATTGGTTTCAGCTAAAAGTCTTCATTAAGGTTCATTAAGGTGACTTATCAACTGGAGATAAGTCACCAACATCTTGGATGGACTAAAGGTAAGTAAATGATTTATTTGGGGTAAATCCATCTCTATTATTTTATATTCATAACTGAAATCTTGCTAGCATAAAAATTGTAGTTATTAAGCATTATGAAAGGTTTGGTCTCAGTGACCAATAGAGATGTAATGATTCACCATGAGCCGGTTGAAAATCAATTAAAATATGTGACTACTCAAATTGGTAGAAATGTTGAACGGATCGTGATACATGTTTTGAACAGAGGCGGCGCTGTGTTTACATGTGCAAACTCACTTTACCTGCACGTCAGGGGCAAGCAAGAGGTGGAGCGGCGGACTAAAATGACGGGTGAAGTGCACCAGATAAAACACAAACTGTGTGCAAATACTAATTTACTTGCACTAACAGAACAACAAATATGATGCACATAAACCATCAGCACAGTGAAAAACTACCGTCACAGATGTCTATACGCTAAAAACTTAACAAGTCAAGCCATGTGGTAAGCAGTTCTGCTTACTCTGATTCTGTGCATCAATGTTTTCATTGCGAAAGTGTGAAGATGTTTTTCAGACTGAGAAAAAGTGAAAGGTGTTATGTTACAGAAGCAGTTATTAGATTATTTTTACCCTCTCCTTTTTCAAGTTAGTTTATGCATAGTTTAATATTTAGCTTATTGAATATTTAAAAATGTTCAAGATTATCTCTTCTTACGTGTATCACACTGATTACAAAAGTCATATTAATTACTCACCTTCATAATCGTGTTCAACTCCTGTATTTATTCTACTATTTAGTTATTTTAAAAATAATTTTTTAATTGATTTTGTTTTTATTATTATATATTTTTTTTAAATAGCAATTTAGTTATGGCAGAAAATGTAGTTATTAAATTTAGTTATTGCAAAAAATGTGCAGCACTTATGAAAAAATGAAAGGGCTCTAATTCATCTTAAATTTGTGTTAAATAATTTAGTTTAAAGAAATTGTGACAAAATCGTGAATTGTGAGATTAGTATTGTGAATTGTGTCGAATTGGAGTCGGTAATCGTAACATCTCTAGTAACCAATAATGATTGATTCTAAGTTTATTTGGATGTATTTTTCTAATTGAACAAAGACATTCTCACCTAAAGACACCGACTTCTGAACACCCAGAATGTTTCATGATTTTATTATTTTAATATTATTCTTTTTGTAGTAGTTTCAACGGCTGCATAACAGGAATGACCCATGTGCAAACTATAATGTATTGAAGCTGTCATAATAGAATGTTGCTTTACTGCCTGTTCTCCTGGAATACTGTCATTACTTTTCTGAACAAACACGTACTGCAATGCATTACTTCATTCTTTAAAATATTCCTGAAATTTACATAGAAATCTAGGGATCTTAAGATCTAACAGGCGAATAACTAATTTGCTATTGATTAAACTGCATAATGATATATTAATTTGAGTTTTGATTATAAGAGGTGTATAAACGATATTTCACACTATGAGAGTGCTTTTGTACATTGTACATTTAAACAAAGCAGAACATAAGACAGTATGAGTACTTTAAAGTGTGTTCGTTAAAATAACCTAATTTAGATACATACCCTTGACACCCCTGAGCTAAAGCTTAGACAAAAGTGGTCTCTTCTCTTGCTCAATTCCATTAATTTAAATAGGGGACTATTTTATTGGGCAGAACCTTTCATAGCTCTTATTATTTGCAGCTCATTGGGTCAATCTAAAAAACACATAAAGCATTATGACAAGTATCTCGGACTCTAAACCACATATTGACAATATGGAGGATGACAAGCAGATGAGGAGAGCAGACTTGTATCTATATTATTTCCTACGGGTTATGTGCAAAAAAAAAAGAATGATTTCAGCATGATACAGTTACTGAATTGTGCAAATAAGTTATAATCTTCACAAATCATGTTTTTGATACATAGATAATAAATATGCTGTGTTGTAAAGATCTCTGTTCTTTAAACTGTTGTCCTCAAAAGACTGTCACTCAACCACCATCTGTCTACAAACACAACGGAGGGGCTGGCTAATCCACTACAGGATGAGGCACTGTGACCAAACAGCATATCAGGTTAACAGGTCTTTTTAGTCCAGAATGTAAAAAAAATACAGAATAGCGTTCAGTTTGATAAGACCGAGTCAAACCACAAAGGTTCTTACACCTCTTCAATTAAAAGGGTAATGGCCACTTCACTCTTGGGCTCCATTCTCACTGTTACCTGTCAGGGGAAAAAAGATCGAGAATGTCAGTCATGGATGCTGAACAGTAACAAACTAATTTAAAAAGCATTATACCTATCATTGTGTGAAGAACTTACCTCCCATGGAGTCCATGTCAGGGTCAGACACATGCGTAATGGAAAAACGAGAGACACTAAATCGAGAAAGTGGTGGTGCTGGTTTTACATCTGGAGATTTGACTGGAGAGTTGGGTGGAGTAGTGATCTCTTCAGAGCCAGGCTCTGATGTTGAAGGACTGGGCATTAATGGTAAATCGTCTTGCCACTGAAAGGTTTCACCTGTTTAGAAACATAATTGAAAAAGTATTAATAACCATGTCAGGCCTGTTTTTAATACAGAAGAATATTGAACACTAACTTTCTTCCGAGGCATTTCTTTCTGATGAATCCTCATAAGAAGTGACCCCATCTTGTGGTCGTGGCAGCTCCACATCTGAAGCCTGACCATTGGGTTCTACCTCCACAGGAAAACTGTAGTCCCCGAGATCACCCGTGGGGCTCTCCTGAATCAATATACAGAAAGACACAGGCTGTCAATAACACAAATCATTGTCTGTTACCTCATGTATAACCCTAATCCAACAAACATTAAGCTATATACCTGGTCAAACAGAAACACGGTGACATCATCAAAGAACGACACCACCTTTTTCTTACTCTCCAACTCATTACAGAAGGACTGTGTAAGTATGGAAGGCATTTTGAGGAGGCTGCGTAGATGCCGTGCACTGCTACGGTCACTCACAATGACAGGAACCACAGGGAACTCTTCGTCACTCTCATCACTCTGCTCCTGTATGTTGTAGCTACGAAGTTCCTCGTCAGACTCATCACTATCCTCTGAATCCTCCTCATCTGCCTCCTCTACGTTTCCCAGTGGTGCTGGGACATCAAGATCCTCTGGCAAGGCTGGAAGAATCCTCTCTAATGATTCATCACGCCTTGATTTTGAAAGTGTTTCTTCTATGCTGCTGCCTTCCATGGAATCCTCATTTACCTCTATATTATCCTCATTGTGTTCTTCCATTAGAAGTTCTGGATTGTCCACATTGTTGCAGATGTCTTGCTCTTCCTCTTGTATAATCTCTCCACTGAAGTCTACTATGGTAGAGTCTGAGCCTAGTGATTTTGCTGAGGAAAAATCTTTTGAGTCTCCATTAGCCTGCTCCTCCATGCCTGAGGCCTCCTGTGTTGAGGAAGACCCTTCAGGTGTTGTGGACGAATAGCAATCAGAGTTTGGTTCTTCACCAGAGTGATCAGATTCCAATCCAATACCGTCATCTGGAGTTGATTCCTTGGTCAAGCAACCCCCCATCTCTGGAGGAAAGGGGGAAAGTGTGGAAATCACTGGAACCATTGTAGGGGACGAACACATATTTGAGATTGTCTTTTTAATACTTGACTGCTTAGCATGAAGGCCAGCAGTTTTGTCCTTTGACATGGAGATGTCATATCCCTTCTCACTTTCTGTGCCATGTCCTTCTCTTCTAACTCTTTTTTCTGAGTCCTGTTTTTCTGCTTTTAGCTGAAAGATGTCATCCCCCTCATGACGACTGAAGAAGTTGCTGCTTCCTTCACAAGGGCTTTTGTCATTCTCCATGTCATAGTCAGAAAAATAAGCAGAGTCTCTGTACTGATTCCTCTCACTAAGGCTGATCAGGGGTAGATGACTGCTGGATGGATGAAGAAGCATTACGTTGACATCTTCATCCAGGTCCATCTGGAGCACCATGTCACTCTCATCTGATTCTACACTGGTGCTAAGGGCTGGATTCCCTTCAAGGTCTTTTAAGATAAACTCTGGGGATTCGTTGTTCTCTGTGTCATAGCCACTGTCGAGGGATTTTGGCTGAATGGGAGTCTGGTAACTATCTGGGCTGAAGGCCTCACATGGACTGCAGCTAGAAGCAATGTTAATTGTGTCCTCTGCCTGTCTAGGCCTGTTTACTCTCTGCGGTGGTCCATGAGCTAGGTCAATATTGCCCACCTCTGCATAGTCCAGTGGATAATCTACTAATACTCCAGAGGGGATATCAGGGCAGTCATCTTTACAGTCATTAATTTCCACCAAAGTTATATTAGAGTTCTCAGGTACCATGCCACTGTCTGTCAAACGGTTAAACTCTAAGACACTCTTGGATGTATCCTTCGAACATGACACCATTTTTACACACACTCCAAAACTATCGGTTGCTAGATTTAATTTTTGTGCCGGGGATATCCTTGTCTCAACTAACATGCTTTCTTTAACATCTACAATCTCAGTTGAAAGAGTTGATGAATTAAGTATGCTACAACCTCCTACATGTAAATCTGATGTACTGTTTTTTATATGTTTATGAGCAATGTTTTTCTGCCGTGTATGAGTGTGTAGACTTTCTGTAACAGAATGACATTTGGCAGATGATTCAACACCCGAAGTACCTTCAGGGCATAAGTGTAGATACTCACCAGCATCTGAATCAGTGTGAGAGTTGCTGGAGGTGGGTGTACTGTCAGTGGCCTCCATGTATGAGTGGACTTTGAGAGAATCGATGGAATTGTATGTGAAACTGTTGCTTATTTCCAGTGTTCTTGATTTCAAACTCCCAATTTGAGAGGAGGGTGTTGGGTGACGTAAATCAAAATATGCATCTTGAAAACCCACAGCTTGCCTACGGTCACTTAAACTGTTGTTGTTTGCTGAGTGGTTGGAATTCCAGTTGCTTAACATGCTTTGAGAAAACAGATCATCATCATCTTCGACACTCCCCCTACCCAAAAGAAGACCATCACCAGCATCAATATCAATGCTCATGTAGTGCGGTCTAGGCACATTTTTTTGTAAAGGGCTCATCATGTCATAATAGGCCTCATTTGCCCTACTTCTTTCTGCAGTTCTCTGGTTTGGTTCAAGGTATGGATCACAATGTGCCAAGCTGGGACTACTAAATGAGACTGACATGCCAAGAGGGCTGTCATCAACCACCTCCAGTCTATGGCTTCCTGACCCTCTTCTCTGCAGATTTGAATCTGAACCCTGTCTTCTTATCAAATTAACATCTGGTCCTTTTTTTGGTGACTGTTCACATTGAAAATGTTGCCTGTCATTGGAAGATAAATATGCTTCCGACTGGTCTATCTCTACTGAGCTTGGAACTCTTCTTTGGAGTGGCTCCATGGTTAGGCTGCTATCTGAATCATAATCATTACTGATGGGTTCTTTAGCTGCAGACCAGTATGAGTTTGGCTGAGACCCAATCAGACTCCTCTTGCCTGCAGAGGACAAGCTGCTGTTACTGGCTTCAACTGTTGGGCTATAATCAAGATCTGTGTCTTCTAAGTTGATGTTGCACTCAACTGGCTCCTCAATGCGGATGTAGTATTCACTACTTACTGAGGGGCTGTGTGCACTCAGTACTGGGACCACTCCTGGATGATCTGATTCATAGTAAGATGGAGAGACCCCAAGAGGGAGGCTTTCACCTTTGCAGCTACCTGTGGAATTGCAAAGAGGGTAATAAACATCCTGGTAATGGGGATTATTTTTTCCCAATGGTCCACTGGCGGAAGAGGAGCAGTAGGGCTGCTCAGCTCGTGCCTGCTCCCATTTATACTCAAAGTTGAGTCCCTGGCTGGTCTCAGTTACTGTCAAAATATCATCCCCATTCTCAGATTGGAAGCTGTCTGCCATAGAGAAGTGTTCAAGTAGAGGAAATGACGAGGAAGCTGAAGAGGCTACTTCAGGTGTAGGTGTCCTGTGAGAGCTGCCACAGCCCAGACTTGGCCTGAGAGAGTTCCAGCGCTTCTCAAAGTCTTCCTCAACCTCTGTCTCACCCTTAGAACACAGGTAGCTTAGCAGGAGATGAACTTCCTCCACGACCGGCCTCTGCTCGGGCTGCAGCCAACAGAACTGCATGACCTCATACCTGTTCAAAGACATGACAGGAAAGCCAAAATTTTAGACCCTACCTTAATTTATCACATACCAACCTGACTGGGGGGAGGGGGCTAAATATAATATAATATAATATAATATAATATAATATAATATAATATAATATAATATAATATAATATAATATAATATAATATAATATTAAAACATAGATACTAATATTAGCTTCTTCTTTTTGGTACTTAATTTATACGTAAAAAAATATGGCACACATTTAATGATCTATTATCTTATTGTTTTATGGTTGCTTAATAAAAAAGCTTATATGGATGATAGCCAGAAACCCATTAAGTGATTATTTGAAATATGGATGGTTTTGCCTTATAGTAACCTTGCAGTCTTAAAGTAGGGTCATTTGTTGTTTATGTGTCCAGTCGGGAATGAAGTGGTATACTCATGCCTGACTGCTTATGATTATAGGGACAATGATTGGGATGTTTGGGGTAAATTTAATTATCATGTGCTTCCAGGATTGGATAAGTGTATGATTGATGGGCTAACAGGGTGAAAGAATTAATGATTGACCATGCTGGATTTGAGCTATATTGATTTCTTGGTCCTGCCAAAGGAAATGGCAATGACTAGTGGAAACACCTGTGGTTGGAATGGTTGGAATACATTGATTGTTGTACATGTATTTAAAGAAAAAGTGATTGGTGGGTGTGTCTGTGAAGAGGAGCATTGAATGGTTTGGACGTGGTGAATGGGGAGTCATGCCTGAGAGACACAAGGGAATATGAGATTCAGAGGATGATTATGACTTGTGAGACGACTCACCAGCGTTCACACAGAGGCACTTTCAGCAGGGGCTTTGGCAGTTTGAGCTGCTGTTCCTTTACAGCATATGTTAAAACTTGCCTATCAGAATAGTGCCTGTAAGGCTGATTACCGAGTTCAAACAACTCCCATATCGTCACACCTAGTGACCTGCAGAGTCCCAAAAATGAAAAGAAAAACACATCTTTATTAATGAGGCTGGAAGGAAATTTGTTTATACAAGTATATAATATGCAGTAGTAAAAGAAAAAACCACACAGCTTTTTTGAAAATAGGCTCATTTTACAAGTGTCTTGGAGTTTAACAGTTAAGTTTTAGCAATTTAAATCAATTCTGCCAGTATTTGGGTCTTTGGGTCTGGTGAGCTTAGCTTAGCACAAATCATTGAATCGGTTTATACCATTATCATCTCTTACTATGTACTGTTATATAGAGAGTTAAGTTCATAGCCATTTCAAACTAGAAAACCTTTAACTCAAACCCTTCCAATTAAACACAACTCCACCAACTAAGTAGGATCTGAAGGCAGATGTGTTTGTAGTAGTAGTAGCAGGATCTTCAGGAACAGGTATGGTGACCCATTGTCCAATCCAATTTAATGATCTATCCCAGGGGTCACCAACCCTTTACCTGGACAGCTGCTTTCCTGCAGTATTCAGCTTCAACCCTACTGAAATGCATGGACCAATTAAGTAGGACCTGAAACAGCACTTGGTGATTACAGACAAGTGCGTTTTGTCAGGGTTGCAACTGAAATCTGCAGGAAGGTAGATCTCTAGAAAAAGGGTTTGTAACCCCCAGAACTATCCTGTAAGCTATGCTAAATGTGTTACCGCCAGGCCTGGAGATCGTTATAATGCCACTGTTTAACTCCAGATGAGCCTATTTCAAAAAAAAAAAAAAAAAAAAAAAAAGTAAACTGTGTTCCTTTAAACACATACACATTCAATATATGTTGATAGGGGCTCTCAACCTGTTTATTATATATATATATATATATATATATATATATATATATATATATATATATATATATATATATATATATATATATATATATGTGTGTGTGTGTGTGTGTGTATTATGTAGTCCAAAGCATCCCACAAAGAAGAAATACAATTCTGAATATCAAAAATTGCAAATTATGCTATTCTGATTGTCCTTAAAAGCATTCCCATTAGATCAGATCAATATTACCCACAAATATGTATCCAGACAAGTCCTAGTTCAGCATTCACCATATGCAGAATACTGAATGTTATGCTGTGTTCAACTCTGCATACATGTTATGTTTTAGTGCACCTGTCATGTATCATCTGTGTCCTCAAAGTTGAGAACCTCTGCCATAGTGTTCATCTCTGAACTATTTACCAGACATTGCTGGCCTTGGTTTGATCCACTACTAAGAGATTTCCATGGACTTCATCAATAAGTTCGGGTGCAATCCAGCGTAGAGGAACCCATATTTGATCTGCTGTCACATAATAGTCATCCTAAAAGACGGAAAGAGTGTGATTTATTAGGATATATTGTGGTCATGTCAAAATAATAAGATCAGCAGGACCTGTATCCTAAAACACTTTACAGACTTACCTTGTACTTGCTATGGCTGAGGCCATAGTCTCCGATTTTCACAGCCAGCTCTGAGGTCAACAGGCAATTTCTAAGGGCCAGGTCACTGAGAACAAGACAGGGTGGAGAATGTGTACATCATTTATAGTGTCTGTCGCTGAACAAACTGTCATAATGAAAGAACGGCAAAGGAAGTCTGCAATGTAGTCTCACATTTTCTTCATAGGTGACTTACAAATAATTGATGGTGTTTGTAGAGTGAGGGGTTTTCCCCCGGCAACAAAATCACTGATGCTGGAGTCTGTGAGATGTACTCAGGCAGCACCAGGATATTGTTGCCAGGAGACACCAGAGCCGGACATCCGGGAAGCGGCAGGATGAAAAATCACCCGGAGAATCATTATGTAGGGAAAAGGTCAAAAAACTTAAGGATCCTCACCTGTGAATGTAATTGTGTTTGTGGAGGTACAAAAGGCCAGAAGCAATCTCACATGCCATCCGCTGAAGGATTAAAGGGTCAGGGGTTACTGAGTCAGCAGCCCGACAGCTTCTGAGGTATCCTTTAACATCTCCCTGTAAAAAAGTAAACACCATTTCAATAAACAATGGCAGATTGCGCTATGATAGTGTGTGCTAGCTTTTCCTGTAATTCTTACGTTTAGCTGTGCAAATGCATTATGTGACCAGCAGAGGGAGCATTAAGCTCTTTAATTATCCCTTTGCTAAGCTCTGCCACCTTGGATGCTCAGAAAAGCTTCATAGACTTGAATAAGTTTCATTGCAGGTTCTTTTCAGGAAATGTGCTCCTGAAATAGTGAAAATTCTTATTTGTTTGTTAGAAATAATATATTTCATAAGTGATTGGATTGACGCAAACAGCAAAAAAAAAAAAAAAAAAAAAAAAAAAAGCCTTACTTGATGATAATCAGAAATCTTACCAAAATAAATTAAATGAACTGACAAAATTGTATTCGGCCTGTCAAATTCTTCTAGGACTCCACCAGTATATCTTGGTAAATCATGTTTTTCTGTATCTGGATGTAATCTTTGATGATGGCTTGAGATTTCATAAATAGATTAACGCAGTGGTCAAATCCTGCTTTTTTAGCTTCAACTCTTAAAAACAGTCATACCTAATCTATCTAGAAACACTTTAGAAAAAAAATTGTTAATGCTTTTATTCTAGATTAGACTACTGTAACTCACTTTATTTTGGGATTAGTCAGAAAACTCTATCCTGTTTACAATTAGCTAAAAATGCTGCTGCAAAGCTTTTAACCGGTACTAAAAAATATGACCGCTCTTTGCGCTGGCACTTTTAAATTTCTTCTCTTGGTTTTTAAATCACTAAATGGCTTGGCTCCTTCCTACCTGCCCGTTTTGTTGACTGAACATCAGCCTGGTCGGCTTCGGTCATCTAGACAGAGACTATGCATCTCAAAGTCGAGGCTGAAATGCAGGAGCGACAGTGCTTTTGCAGTAGCTGTTCCTACCTTGTGGTAGGCTTTGCCAGTGGGAATGTGTTTAATAGTGTTTAATAGGGATATATTAATAAAATTGACATTGTATAACTTGGAGGAAATGCTCATGTCTTTGCTGATGTTACATGTTAAGTTCTTGAATGGAGTGATAGTTTAAAACACACCAAGAAGATATCTATTTTCTGTATTATTTGTAATTTCAGTAATAAATTATTTTGTGAATGTCAACTGTTGAATTAGTTATAAAAAAGCATAACAAAAGCAATGATAGAAGTCATTGAAGCATGTCATTTATTCAGCTAATATATTTGTGCAAAATGTGATTACACCTTAGAATATGGTCCAGTAGTTAATGTATTTACTACCATTAGCTAACTGAAAAAACTTGTAAAGCATTTATTAACCATAGTTTAACATTAACTATTGCATCATTAAAATCCAATGTACTGCGAGTCAACATGGACGAGCATGGACTAACATTATTTAACTTAAATGGCATCAGCTAACATTAACAAACATGAATAAATACAATAAGAAATGTTTTACTAACTAACATTAACCAATGGACAATTATTTTAAAGTGTTACCCAGAATGTTTATTGTACACCAATAGTGAATTAATGTTTTGTCAAATCTGTAGGACATAAGACATGCCAGGTGGTATCTGACTGGAGGATAGCATCTTGAGCTAAAGCACAAAATGGTGGAAAATGTTAACTCTTGTTATGGTTTAACAATAGGTAGAAAAAGAATTAGTAACAATCAAATATTCCATATTACATTTAAGAATGTTGCAATGTTTTAGATAAATAATGGATTCAGTGTACTGTAAGTTATACATTTCATTAGTCCAGTTCATTGAAAATAATTGGAAAATGTATTAAATGTATTGTAATTATGGAAAAAACTTTATATGATATACATTTGCATGTTCAAAAACACATATAATGCTGCAAGTAAATTGGCAATGAAATTTAAAATCTAATTTTAATTGTATTTATTCTACCAAATTCTAAATATTGCAAAGACATTGCTGCATTTACAATGGTTCATATGACTAGATTCTGTTTTTTTTTTTTTTTTTTTTTACTTGTATGTGACCGATAGGATATGGCCTGATTTACTCAATCAGATTCAGGCCTTGTTCATATGGAAATGTATCCGATATGAATCGGATCTGTGTTCTTGTGTCTGCAGTGTAAGCAGGTAGATGAGATTTTCACCTGTCAATGCAAGTTACACGTCATTAAAAACCATAGCGGATGACGTCAACTCATTTTAACGCTTTTATGTCAGAACAGACTTCAGCAGAGTCCCAAACGTAAACCTCATACACAAGGACTTAAAAAATAGGACTAAAGTATTTCAGCATGTTAACACGAAAGAGAGAGTTCAACTCCGCCATGGAACCAATATAAAATAATAGAAGTTTAATAGAAAACGGTTGCATGCGTCACGTGCATAAATTACACCATGGACATGAAATTAAGATGCTTACTGGTTAAAAAAGGCCTAAGTTAAAATAAGTTGGCAAAATTAGAACATTTCTGTCATAAACTAAAGTGAAACATCTAGTCAAAAAGAATAAAAATAAATAAACCCTGTGAACACATTAAATACAGGAATGGAGAAAAGAGCTCTCTTTTATTATCAGCTGTCAGTCAGCGCCCGCTCTTTTATTCCTGTCCATTGCACCTTTGCCGTGTGCTGTGTAAATGCAGGCTTTTAAAACATGATGTAAGCAGGTCATCAAAAAAAAAAAAAAAGTCGAATACAGTCACTAAATCAGAATTAACCATTGAGACCAGCAGTATGACTACAGCCATAGACTCTCTGTAGACCTAAAGTGAAAAGATCCTTATGTAGCAAGAGTTGCTACACTTTGATCGGTCTGCGACATACTAAAGCTGTGGCTTGCTGAACAGCAAAGTGCCACTCACACGCACAAAACTCGAGCACATTTGTTGATTTGTTGTACTTTGCTAGTAAACAGGGTGCTTTTTCAATACATCCCGCCTTTAATTTTCAATATTAAAACTGGATATACTGCCTAAAAATGTTCTAAAGTGTAGTCAGACAAACTTGGTGTGGAAAGCGGCTGGTACATGTAGTCAACAACTTACCAGAGGGCAGTGCTCCATAACCAGTAGGTAGGGCGTGACTTCTGTACTCTGGGAAAGACACTGCAGGAGGGCTGGATGCTGGAGCACACTGTGGGATCCATATGTTTAAATTTTAAAACACCACTCATAGGAGAAACTGGGAACAGTTTACAATACAGTCAGGACACCTAGTTTATGTTAGTTAACATATTTACTGACATGAAAAAAAAATAAAATAAAATGTGTGTACAGAATGTGTTAATCATAGGACAGCATTTACTAATGCACTATTCAAATCAAACATTGTGCTTTAAAATGAGAAAGAAAAGCTGTATTTTCATAAACTAACAATAACAAACATGAATAAACGTATTGTTCATGTTAGTAAATACATTAATTGTCCTGTATTGAAAAGTGGGACCATGAAACTGTTTAGTATTACACTCTGAAAAAGAGCTGTGGTTCATTTTATTTAATTTTCTTTGTGAAAATTGAGTGCAAGATAAAAAGTGTTTACCGATAAGGTTGGACCTCTTCCAGGAACTGCATCTGCTCTTGTACACTGGCACTGGCCTTTAGCTCCTTAACCACCACCTGTGTGGTACTGAGTCCAGCATTCACCTCCCCTAGCAAAACCTGAAAGCCAGCCCAAATCGCACATTACCACTGAGAAAATTGCTCACACCTGCCACCTATGAAACTGGCGGCAGGGAATTTATACAGAGCAAACCCCTCGGTGTGCGATTCATCTCAAACTGTTTGTTAAACAGTAGCTCTTAATGAGATCTTGACCACATTACAAGCACGCTCTGGAGGGTACTCAGAAAACTGCTGATTTCTAAAATCAGCATTGGGGAAAGGATAAGGTTATACAAGGTCTCACCTTTCCAAACCAGCCGTGTCCCATTTCTTTTATGTAGAGAAGGCTGTGACGTCCAAGATCTGCAGATTTCAGGAGCTGAACTGAGAGGAACAGAGAGAAAACATGCATTTAGAAAGGACAGAGACCTGAAGAATAGATGATCTAAAGAAAAAAAAGTTAACTTTTGACAGAATGATCGTCAAAACCATGGATATCAGCTCATCTATCTGGATATAAAATGGAAAACTAGTTCAGAAGCAAACTCTGGTTCCAAATACCTTGAACCATCATTATTCAGCAGATAAACAAGAGTACAGATGAAGAGCAACTTCTTCAGTCTGGTAGTACATTGTACAAGGAAGTTCTGACGATGCTGAGGAATGGTGACACCATTCTTTGGTTCTCCATGTCTCAGTCCACGCTCCAGGGGTTTAACCCCCCAAGCCCTCAAACAGCTGAGAAAGCAGCACCATCTTTCTTCCTTCCCAGAGACGGAGTGCATCTCCTCGCGCTGAGATTCGACGTTCCACAACATTCCCATAATGCCCCCGGCTGGAACTCTCAGCTGGATCTGAAGCCACTACGGCTCCAGCAGAGACCAGTGTTTAAATTGTCAAGTGTCCTCCAGCCCCACCAAGAGCTGAATGTATGTCTGCCGTACAGCTCAGTGCATGCCAAATGTGTCTGGTCACGCAAGCAACGCATTGACCACATAATAACTCTCTCTCCACTGCCCCCTTCCCTCTAAAGGTCTCAGCAAGACTATGGGGGCAATTGTAAACAAATAAGGCACTGTGAGCAGCAGAAAAGACCTCTGTCATTAACACGAGCCCCCCACACACACCTCCTCCTGTGCTAGCAGCAGGTCTCACAGTGTGTGTGTATGTGTGTGCGTGTGCCTCACAAACCCATCCCTGTATTAATGCACTAAACTGTTCTCTTCCTCTGCAGCGTTCCAGAAGCTTCTCATTCCAGCCCCTCACACTCCCCGCCACAGTTACATTGCGGCTTTTGTCCGCAGAGCAGCAGCGCCTGGTACCCTAGTACCAGCCCAGACACAAGGCCCATTCTCTGCCACTCAGAGCCATGATTGTCACAGCCGTGACCCCCCTGATTCCTGACACACAGCTATCTCTCTTTTCTCCAGCAGACTTGAACTGGTCTTTTATATGATTTCTGTGGAATCTGTGAGTTGTGCATTCCCGTCCCACTCTTGGCATTCCCAGAGCAGCCCTGGGCCATGTTAAAAATGCATTAAAACCCTGCACAATTGAACAAGAAGACTCAAGATTTGCAGATTGGGTAGAAGGAATATTCTACTTAATGCTTGTACAATTTAGTTTTTCTTTTTTTTGGGGGGGAGTGAGTGAAATTCTATGAAATTTTATGAAGGATTTAATAGGTGTTCTCAAATTTGCATCATGGTGTTGATTCTATTATAGCACCAGTTTAAAAAGATAAGTAGCACTTTGTTGAATAATGTATTTACAGTATGTGCACTGAAGGGTGGCATACATTATTTCTATGAATGAGAGAAAAATGAATATGGAGTAAGTTTATGAGGATGAAATTGCTATTAAAGGGACATATCCATTCACACGTATTGAACAATGACTCAAATTCTCCTTGTGACAAATTTACAAACTGTAAAACACAATTTTAAAGTTTCTATAAGTCTGTGGTTTGAGATATACTGTATAAGTGGTCTGAGTTACACTACCGGTCAAAAGTTAGGATTTTTAAATGTTTTACAATAAGCTTCTCCTGCTCACAAAAGTCACATTTATTTAATTGAAAATAGAGTACAAATCGTAAAATTGTGAAATTTTATTGCGCTATAAAGTAATTGTTCAAAAGTAGTTTACAATTTCATTTATTCCAGTGATTTTAAAGATGAATTTTCAGCTTCATTACTGTAGTCTTCAGTCTCGCATGATTCTTCAGAAATTACTCTAATATTAATTATCATTAATTTTATTATTATTAATTTAATAGTAATAAAAGCAGTAAGGACTGAAGTTATAATTTAATTTGAAGCTACATACAATAAGAAAGTAGTTATTTAAAATTATAATAAAGATTTAACTTTTTTTTTTTTTACATTTAATAAATGCCACCTTGATGAACAGAATGATTGCCTTAAAAAAATAAAACATGAAAAAAAAAATACTCTAAACTATTGATCGGTGGTGTGTCTATTATTGTTTTTATGATGGTTGTTTTTATTTATATATTTATAAGAGCTGTAATTTAATGAACTACTGTATGCTTGAGACATTCACACCAAAGGAAAATTTTGAGCTTTGACTCAAAAATATAAACATAATGTAATAACACAGTTTTATAACCAAATGTACTTGGAAGCGAAAGAAATGTTGTAACCATTTACTGCATTTTAAATGACAATACCATTCATTCATTCATTCATGCATTCATTCATTCATTCATTCATTCATTCATGCATTCATGCATTCATCAATTAATTCATTAATTTATTCATTCATTTTCCTGCGTTTTAGTCCCATTTATCAGGGGTCACTATAGCGGATTGAATATAAATTGTATAAGTAGTGTAGTTACATGGATGTATTCTTTTTATTCTAAAAAAAATAAGTGCACTTTAAATACCCATATGATGCACTTATTCAACCGTTAAGTGTTCCATTTGGAATGACACTAAATTCATATACTAGGCTGTTCAGTGTGTAAGAGTATAGTGTTCCATTCGGGATGCAGTTTTACTGTTTAAATCCCTAAAAAGACTAACACTAAGACATAGAACTTAATAAAGATACAGAGTTAATTCAGTTCTTCATCAAGGGCAGATAGATGTGCAGATCAGTTACTTTTGGCTGTTTCTCACACAAGGTTAAAAACCATGCTTTTGCAGTGGCAGCCCCAAATGTTGGAATAATTTGCCTCACCATCTAGTCTCAAAACTCATTTTTAAATCAAGTCTCAAAACTCATTAAAAGCCAAAAGCTCTTTAGCTTTAACAACATACGAGACTCTTATGCCTGTTTTATTTGTCTTGGTGTGTATGTGTACAAAACGTATGGTAAACACTTTTTTGTTTTTTTGTTTTTATAAGTGCAGTATAAATAAGTATTGATTTAACGTTATTAACTGGATCAGGTGTGTGTAATTTAGGTCATATAATTTAGCTCAAATTTGCAAGATGAAGCAATCCCAATCCCATATGGTAAACTGGATTAAAGGTGTTGCAGAGATCAAATGGCATATATGTTAAGTAGGGCTGCACAATATTGGAAAAAAAAATTAAATTGCATTTCTTTTCTTTATATATTACTGTACAGTGTGTGTGTGTGTGTGTGTGTGTGTGTGTGTGTGTGTATATACATATATATATATATATATATATATAATTTCACTAGATGACAAACTAACTTTTATGTAAGTTAGTATATACATATAAGAAAACTACAGTCATAAATAAACACAATGAAGCAATTGTTAAAGTGAAATAAACATCGCTTTATGATTTCATAAAGTGAATAATCAAATTTAAAATAACATTGCATAGTCTTCATCATGTGAATTATTCAATAAAATGTATTTTTACTAAACTTCTTTATGCACTATTAAAATCCTTTAAACTCTTTTAAATGCTCACAATGACAGTGACTTCATTTTAGCTTTCCAAAGTTAGCAAGCACCTCGTTATGCTCTATAGGTACACACAGCTTGCAAAGCCAGCACTGAGGTAGTCTCTGAGCAGACTTGTACCTATAAGTCAAATCAAATCCATATTAAGTCACAAAAGTGCAGACTTCAGTGAAAACTGCAAGGATTTAGGGTTCAAGAGTAAGTTTAGATTCCTCACTTGTAGATAACAGTCAGAAAGTAAAATGGAAGATAAAAGTGAGTGGATTTCTTAAGCTGGAACTCCAAATCTAATGTCAGAGTTTGTTTAATTTTTTTTTCCAAGATTGTGATATGGGCTCTTATGGTAACTTTGCGTTTTTATATATTAACATGGAAGCTGTAGAAAAAATCCAATATTGCAATGCAGGGTCCAATTGGGCTTAAAATGCTGTTGAACTAGACATAAGCCAAACGATTCCTGACAGACCCAATGAAGTTCATTTCACTCATAGGTAAGAAAATGTGCAATTTCTGATTCAGGTCTAGTAGTTATATATAGTCATAAACAGTGTTGGGGGTAACGCAAGTTAATTAATAATATTACTTTTCGAAGTAACGAGTAAAGTAACGCATAACTTTTAAAAATTAAGTACTACTAATATTTGAGTTACTTTTAAAAAAATGTAATGCAAGTTACTTTTTAAATTAATTTTAGATTAGATTAATTAATGATTAGTTAATTTGCTATAAATATAAATTGCTGATGTAATATCAAAAAATAGTCACACTGAAGAATGCACTCAATGAGAGAGTGCAGAAACAGAAAGAAATTAAGATGGCAGAGCCATTTCTGTGATGGAAATATTCTCATTATTTTGAACACATGGAAGAAAAAGAGGATTATCTGAAAGGACAGTGGTTTTATTTCACTAATAAGACAAAAAGTACAGAAGTGGCAAACTTATTGCTTTAAACTTTCATTAATCTGTATATACAGCATGTATAGCTCTGTGGTCAGGAGTTTCTCTGAAGATAACACCATCCTACATTAGTTTAAATGTGTTTTTTTGTTTGTTTGTTTGTTTGTTTTTTTTAAGGTAAATAAAGGAAATACAGTGTGTTGTTAACTGCAGAGCTTCTCTTTAAAAAAAAAAATAAATAAATAAAAATAAAAAAAGAAAACCTCTGCAAGTTCTGAAAGAGTTCAAGCCAGGTCAGAAAAAGTAATGCAAAAGTAATGTAGCACATTACTTACCATAGAAAGTAACTAATTAACACAGCTATTTACTTTTTGGGGAGTAACTCTATTGTAATGCGTTACTTCCAAAAAAAAACTTTCCCTAACACAGGCCATGATATAAATTGACTAACAATAAATAATTATGGATAAATTAGAAAGAAAGTAGCTATCTGTACTTGAAGTGACTTCCAGGGACATTTTTAACATTTATATAAGAATATTTTTTTTTATTATACCTGTATTAATTGTATTTGTGTTTTTTTTAATGCCAAACACTTAAATTGAACTTGAACACATGGGACCCTATCATTAGCTCATTACAATAAATGTGCAAGACATGTTTGGCATGATTTGTTGCTATTTTCAGACCAGCAAAACCCTAATTTTCACGTTTTGCACCACTTTGATTAAATAGCAAATCTTTTTGGGCCACTTTGTGAACTCATGGATGTGCTGGTCTGAAGAGACGCATTGTTGATGCGTTGTTGTTGATGTTTTGAGGAACCAAAACAGACTGTACCACTGACCAACTGTTCAGCGCAGAGCACATTAGTTATGCGCCTATACAGGTCTACACATTGCTTAATACACAGCAACACAGTACAGCAACCTACAAATATCTTTACATATTAAAAAAAAGGATTAAAATGTTACAAAAATTTATATTTTCTACATAAATATAAAAGCCACTACCTTTATGCTTTCAGCTCTGGGGGCTTTTTTCAGTTTATTAATGACTAATTTAAATAATCTGAATAATTTGCAGTTGTAGAATGCCAGTCATTTATTCGTTTGCTGGAAATTAGAACTGTATTTAGAAATAGTTTTGAAACAAATCTGTGCTTAACAAACAAAATTAAATATGTAGGTACAACTCCAGTGCGTACAACACCGTTTCCTTATCCACGAAAGTTAAGGAGTAAAATAAAAAGTAAAAGAAGAGGCTGAATGGAGGAGGCTCGTTCTTTATCCTCACGCTGCATATGGTCTGTTTAACGGTTTTCTTGCTAGTGAAGCATTTAGTTTTACTACAAATAAAGTCCACCATGTAAATAGCAAATGTGCCATGATATGACACAACTGACTCTTAAAGGGAATGGGGAGATGAGGCTCTGATTGGTTTAATGCAATTTATACTCAAAGCACACTCATAATTCTTATTGACAAATTAATAAGCATAATAATAAAACTGTTAGACCATGTACCAGGGCACAGAACATATTTTTCCATCCTTAAAATAGCAAAAGTGGATTCTGACTTCCCCTAATGCTTTTGCACCATGCATTTTACACTTTGCGCCTAGATCATTGAAATAGAGGCACTAAATTTTGAAAAAAAAAGCCAATTATGTCAACTACATAAAGTGTAAATAAAATAAGGAAATAATTACAGGCTAGTGCTACATTTTTATGATTCTCAAAATCCTTACTGTCTATTACTACTTTAAATACTGTAACATGATCATTATTATCGATTAAAAGAATATATA